TGGATGACAACTTCTTGTTTATTGCATAGAGCGACGTTTCGCTGTAGATTCTTACAAAGCTATCAAGCTTGTAAAAATCTATACTGAAACGTATCTCTATGCAGTAAATTAATTTGTTATCCATAAAGTCGTATGCTTCATTAAGGTTCTCTCCGGTCAAACAGTGTAAACATGTTGCGTTAATTATGTTTCACTCATTGGGATAACGTAACCTTTACGTTGAATGTATCCTGTACACCTGTCAGACTCTGTCTCAGTCCACGCTGGTGTATGGAAGCTGTGTAGAATGATATGTGGAATGCAAGACTGACTGACTGACTGAATTTGGTTTTACGCCGCTTTTAGCAATATTCCAGCAACGTCACTGCGGGGGACACCAGAAATGGGCTTCACAAATTTTACCCATGTGGGAATTCGAACCCGGGTCTTCAGTGTGACGAGCCAACGCTTTAACCACTAGGCTACCCCACCGCCCCTGGAATGCAAGAAGTATGGAACCCTAAAATTTAGAAGGGACATGGACGCGCTGTCGCCATTATAAAAAAAACAAAACAAAAAATGCCAAAATTACCTAAAGTAACGACAATGCCACAACGTGACATTTTGACCGTTTGTCGCTTTGTTGTATTTTCAATGATTTTGACACAGATCTCTTTCTCCAAACAATGTCTTTCTCCAAACAATGTGGTGTCGCTGGTGTCGTAGACACTTCGATGTGGTATGGGTTTTTATCGGGAAATATAGACATGTTTGTATATTCTCTGAGTTAAGTTAAAGTTGTGTTATCTAAATCTAAATCACAGTGCTGACAATATACATGAAATATCAGCAGCTTATTATCATGACCATCAGCACAGCCATGTACAGATCAGCTGCCTGCGTGTAATTAACCCTAATGAACCTTAAAGTATGGCCGGTTGGCCACAGAAGTTTAACATTGTGGATGAGGTGCATGCTGGATACTGCAGGTTGACCATACATGTATCGTAAGACGATACAGGGCAGCCTGACAGTCAGTAGTATATAGACAATGAATTCTTAATGTGACGGGACTTGACCCTCGGACAGCGGCTAGGCAGGTTGGCTGACGATCGCCTCTGTGATGCTGCCTGGCCGTTGCTGCACTATCATGTAATTACATACTTAGCTGCCGAATAGAGTGTTGTGGACCCTCTGAAGGACTTCTGTGTTTGAAGAGACAGATATCCAAAAAACGCTTTAACAGCTCGGGATACTGGCTTAAACTGTTGCAGCAGTTAATGCTGGAGATCCGAAGAGTCTCTACAGAAGCGTGTGATGCTGGCTGGCGTTTACAGTGTCCAATACACAATACTGTCACAGTTCTGTACACAGGGAACCCTGTCAAACACGTGCATTCCATGGCTGTACAGACAGGGGGTTGGGTAGACTAAGGCTTAGTCTCTGAATATATATAATTTTGATAGTAACAAACAAGCCCATTTAAATTGAAAAGGAGCCCTAGGGAGACCAGAGATTCAGAACCTGAGGAAATCTAGACTTGCTTTATTTAGGGCTTTAGCACTGCAGAGATGGCTAAGCAGTAGGGAAAATAATGTGGTTCAGGGACTGTGAGACAGACTAGGGGTTGGGAAACACGTGCATCTAAGACCTGTGTACATAAGAGTTGTGAACACACGTGCATCTAAGACCTGTACACTTAAATGGTTGTCAAGCAAGAGCATCTTGGAACTGTACACACGAAAAGGTTGTCAAGCACGTGTAGCTTAGCGGTCTTCACACAGGGTTGTCAAGCATGTGCATTTTAGAGCTCTACAAACAGGGGGTTGTCAAACACGTGTTTAATTGCGCTGTACACACAGATGGTTGTCAAACACGTACATCTTAAGTAGCGCTGTACACATATGCACACACAGATGGTTGACAAATACGTACATCTTAGCACTGTACACATATGCACACACAAATGGTTGACAAACACGTGCATCTAAGTGCTGTACACACAAATGGTTGACAAACACGTGTATCTCAGCGCTGTACACACAAAGGATTGTCAAGCAGGCGTATCTCAGTCATGTAGACCTCTGTCCAGCATGTGTCTCTGAGAACTGTAACATACAGACAAATTTCAGAGATATTTGAGGGTGAATCGTCACCACGGCTAGTTCTGTGAAGAATTGTCAGACACGTCTGTCTCCACATCCCGTCAAAACAGCTTGTACACCTGTCAGCTTGTCAGAATGAACACCTGAGTATGTCGCTGCGGCTTAAACACCTGTTAACTTGTCAACACGACCTGAACACCTGTCTACTGTCAACATGACTTTAACAACTATCAGACCGTCACGTTACGGAGGTCCCCGAAGGCATATTGTACAATCTGAACTCACTTCCGGTTTCTGCTGTTCAGCCTTTGCGACTCAGTCATCAGACTTCAGTTCAAAGAAGATGGATGTGCTGAAACAACATTGCCGTCCGTCCACATGGCCGGCAGATCCCCGTCAGCCGACTGGGGGATCAGGTTGTCTGATCGCAAGCCGAGGGGAAAGATAATGAAATTTCTTTGAACATATTTTTGATGTAATACCGCGAGAGTTATGAACTCAATATCCTGCCTCGGCCCGCAAACCAGGTGTGTGGCCAGCCTCGTTCTGAAATAGCCGAAATAACATGGCCCCATTTATATCCGGAGCGGAAAAGGGAGTTATTTAAAGACAATGTTTCTTCTTGGTATATAAATATAGCACGGTAGCCTCTACAAGTCGATTGACGTACGGGTCTTACAATACATCGGCGACTGCATGACAAATCGTTCTCGACTCCCACACACGTGTGAGGCTGACCTCGACAGATGGTCGAGTTATGACGAGAACCAGGTGCCTGCATTCTACTGACATACAGGAACAAGATGTAGACCATGGAATACTCGGCGCCTTCTGTGGTACACGTGTGTGAGGTGCCACACGTGAAGCTTAATTTGCATAGACGAGTGAAATGGAGAAGAACGGTCATTTTGATTCTACGATGATGATATTTGACACGTGTGCTAGATTTACGTTTAGTCTCTGAAGATCCGGGTTAGAATTGGTCTTCAGTAACCCACGCTTGTCGTAACCCATGCCGCAACTAACGGGATCAGGTGGTCTCGCTGACTTGGTTGAAACATGTCATTGTATCCCAATTGCATAGATCGATGCTCATGTTGTTGATCACTGCGTTGTCTGGTCCAGACTCGATAATTTACAGACCGCCGTCATACCTGGAATATTGCTGAGTGCGGCGTTAGACAACAGACAAGCAGTCTCTGAATATATATATTTTTGGCAGCAGAAACAAATAGTTCCTTTTAAGTTGAAAAGGAACCCCAGTGAGATTGAGAACCCGAGGAAACCTGGACTTGCTTTATTTGGGGTTTTAACATTGCAAGAAAGGCTGGGCAGAAGGGAACTAATGCGGTTAAGAGATTATGAGACAGACTTGTCATGTGCGTGCATATGTTTTGTTGGTTGTTTGTCCGCCCTCTCGATGATATTCTCGACATATGACGGCGACTGGTGAAGTCAATATAGTCAGTCTTACTGTCCCTGAACCATATTACATTCCCTACAGCCTAGCCCTTCCTGCAATGAAGCAAGTCGAGATTTCCCCAGGTTCAGGATCTCTGGTCTCCCTGGGGCTCCTTTTCAATTTAAATGGTTTTATTGGGGTGAGTGAGTTTAGGTTTACGCCGCACTCAGCAATATTCCAGCTATATGGTGGCGGTCTGTAAATAATCAAGTCTGGACCAGACAATCCTGTGATAAACAGCATGAGCATTGATCTACGCAATTGGGATACGATGACATGTGTCAACCGAGTCAGCGAGCCTGACCACCCGATCCCGTTAGTCGAGTCTTACGACAAGCATGGGTTGCTGATTCTAACCCGGATTTTCACGGATCAAATGGTTTTATTTGTTACAATTAAAATCATATATACTAGCCACATAAAGAAACTGTGCACACAGAAAATGCCTTCAGAATTGGAATACAACACACCAAAGACAACATGATGTAGACACTTTATGATATCGTGTTACGATGGCATTGGAAATGTGCTGCCACCTGTTGTTGGCTCATTCCTGCTCGAACCATTCCAATGGCTTCATGACGTTGAGCAGATGTTAATCTTGGCATGATGTGCATGTGACTTCTCATGTGGATTTGTGAACGTTTGAATGACCAAAGATCAAGCTTTCGACAGTGACAGCAATTTCAGAATTTCACATGTTGTGTGCAGCTGCACGGGCTGCACGTGCAGTAACACATTGCAAGGCCATAGGCCACCGTCAATGACGTCACATCGCCTGGCACGTGCATGAGCGTTTGATTGTCTCAATTACTTGCTATGTTCACAAATGTAATTATATATAAAGACGCTGTGTGCCTATATTTATATTTTCTATGTGCACAGTTTCTTTATGTGGCTAGTATATATATTCAGAGACTAAGCGGTAGTCTAAAGGCAATCATGAGCATCTGTGTGTGTATGTAGGTCATGTTTGTAACTATAGAGTACGTCAATCATTATACCTGATTTGACTGGAGGGTACGTCACATGGACGTCCAATATTATACATACTTGTGACGGGAGTGGACATGTATGTGACCGATATACAGTCGAACCCCAATGTCTCGAAGTCGGTTGCGACGAATTCTCGGATGTGTCGAACTCATCTCTCGGTCCCTGCCGATTTCCTTATATTTATCATTATTTCTATGCTGACGGATGTGTCGAACACTCGGATAAGTTGAACTGTTCCCTTGGTCCCGACGAGTTCGACACAACAGGGTTTGACTGTACTTGATATTCCAGCACGCGGGTCCAGATTACATCACATAGTGCTCCCCATGCCGACCGTTTCACGGGTACCGAATGAATGAACGAACGAATGAATAAATGAACGGATGAACGCACGGATGAACGAACGAACGGAAATATACTGTGTTATATGCGTATATGATAAAGAACAAACAAATAGCTGAATACAGATATTTACTGTCTAAAACGTTAACGATCACACGTATGAGTCTCTATCAAGGGATGAAGCCTCACCCTCATCAGCAGCCTATAGCATCTCGTGGCAACCTGCGTGCTGAGGTAGGGTTAGATGAGGAAGTATACCAGTCCCCACTGGAGAGGACCCGCCCACACGTTCCATCCACCATGTCCAGCTACTCACTCATCCATTACATTAAGCACCATGACATGGGGACGCGGAGTGGTCAGGAGGGGTGGGGACGGGGGAGTCTGGTCACTGACCCCATCTATCTAACCGTATCGGAGTCTTGACCTCCCCGGAACCCGGACATCGCCGTCATCTTGCCCGACTGTTTGGTGCACGTGCCTGGAAGACGATGGGGTGTACATATGCAGTTCAGAAATTCAGCCAGTATCTACCCATCATGAATTCCTCCACCCACCCATCAATTCATTAAACTATCAATTCGGATATAACAGAACACAGCCCATTTGTCCATCCGCTAAATCACTCATATACCATCCACCTGCCTATCCATTCTTTCTTCAACCCACAAACCGAGTCCCTGTCTGTCTATCCATGAGACAAACCGCCAGCCACCTACCTGTCCACCCATCCATTGACCCATCCTTCAACCCACAAACTACACAACTATCAGTTCATCCATGACCTAACCCACTTACCACCCTCTTACCTGTCCATCCATCCTACAACCCCCATATCTATTTATGTATATAACAGTGCAGCAGTCAGCCATATCCACGAACCCAGACCAAGAAATCTGTACCCGGACTTACAGACATCCAAGATCCGGGTTAGAATTGATCTTCAGTAACCCATGCTTGTCGTAAGAGGCGACTAACGGGATCGGGTGGTCAGGCTCGCTGACTTGGTTGACACATGTCATCGGTTCCCAATTGCGTAGATCGATGCTCATGCTGTTGATCACTGGATTGTCTGGTCCAGACTCGATTATTTACAGACCGCCGCCATATAGCTGGAATATTGCTGAGTGCGGCGTAAAACTAAACTCACTCACTCACTTACAGACATCCAGTCTCTCCTCCAGCATAGCGATCTGTTCGCTCAGTGATGACAGGTAGGTGTTGACGTCCTCAATATTCTGCTCGGGGGTGGGCGTGGCTGAGGTAGGAGGGCGTGGCAGATCCTGTATGGGCGGGGACGTGGGCAATGTTGACAGTGTCCGCAAATCTTTGTGAAGCTTGGTCAAGTTCAGCGTCAGTATGTCCTGGAACGTTAAGCTGTCACTTATTCTGGTAAAATTACCCGTCGTACCTGTTGATGGATACTGCTACTCGACACAAGGTGAAGTCTGTTATCTGCTAAGTAGGATTCAAGCGTTACATATTCGACACAGAGTGACGTCAGGCACGTGCATCAAGGCGTTAACTTACGTGTAGCACGTGTATTACGGGTTGTAACGTACATAGTCTAGCACGTGTACATAAGGTTGTTACATATATCGTCGACATAAAGTGACATATAGCACGTGTAACAAGGCTGTTACTTATATCGTCGACATAAAGTGACATATAGCACGTGTAACAAGGCTGTAACGTACATTGTTGACGTATAGTGACTTCTAGCACGTGTAACAAGCTTGTTACTTATATCGTCGACATAAAGTGACATCTAGCACGCGTAACAAGGCTGTAACTTAACTTGTAGACATATACTGACGTCTAGCTCGTGTATCAAGACTGTAACTTACATTGTCGACATATAGTGATGTCTAGCACGTGTATTAGGGCTGTAACTTACATTGTCAACATACAGTGACGTCAAGCACGTCTATAAAAGCAATAAACTTACATTGTCGACGTGTATGGTGTTGACAGTGTGGGTGAGATGTTTCTGGTCTTGTAACATGGTCGTGAACTCATCCGTGCAGGACAGGCAGACTGAAACATCGACACAAGCATATGGGTTTCTGGGTGTTTGTACCATATGTACCCTGTGTACCCGCAGGTACTACAGAGTCAAACATCAACACAACCATACGGTTTCTGGGTATTTGTACCATATGTACCCTGTGTACCCGCAGGTACAACAGAGTCAAACATCAACACAACCATACGGCTTCTGGGTATCTCTAGGATATGTACCCTGTGTACGCACATATACAACAAAGTCAAACATCAACACGGCCATATAGGTTCTTTGTAACCGTAGTAATTGCATATTCATATATTAACACAATTACAAGGGACTCCCTGTAATCTTTACGAACTAAAGAGTTAAATATTAACATTATCACTGGAGCCTCTGTGTACCCATAATAAATACACATTTAAACAGTAATAAACTGACGCACAAAAGAAAGTAACCACCTGGTGTTTGGGGATTATTTTTCGAAACACAACGTTAATATTTTGTAAAGAGTTTTGTTTGTGACTTACAAGTCATAAAACTTTGGGTACCTGTTGCCAAAGCGCCACAGATATCTTTTACAATGTTGTGCTTAGGATATCAAGAAAATGATGATTTTATTTAAACGGACGTGAATGTTATGCGCCAAAAGTATAAAACACCATCGACTGAGATTGTTAGTGGTATACCTGTTAAAGGCACATTTCCAAATTTGAGTGAGTGAGTGAGTGAGTGAGTTTAGTTTTACGCCGCACTCAGCAATATTCCAGCTATATGGCGGCGGTCTGTGATTAATCGAGTTTGGACCAGACAATCCAGTGATCAACAGCACGAGCATCGATCTACGCAATTGGGATACGATGACATTTGTCAACCAAGTCAGCGAGCCTGACCACCCGATCCCGTTAGTCGCCTCTTACGACAAGCATGGGTTACTGATCAGTTCTAAGCCGGCTGTTCACTGGTTGAACGAGAATGAGCGATTGGAAATATCGCATATTGCTAGGGTGTGAGAGTTTGGATTTACGCCGCTTTTGAGCAATGTTCAAGCAATATCACGGTGGGGAACACCAGAAATGTTACACATTGTACCCAATTGGGGAATCGAACCCGGCCGTATCAGAGGAATGAAACGCGCCATTGACATCTGACAGTCCCAGAACTGGAAGACGGAAAGAAACCTTATGCGCAACCGAATCCTAACAGAGGCGTCATCAACATGAACAGCATCAACAGCGATTGGCCACCGATCAGCAGCAACACAGAGGTGAGACATTGCGTAAGGAACACGAGAAACGCCGGCGACGTGTAAGTCACATTCAAATCACTTTTCAAAATATTTACACTGTTGTTTTCAAAAAAATGATCGTAGCACACCAGATGTGGACTTTCTAATGTACGTCAGATTATTGTTATTTGGTTCCCAACAACACGAACGCACCATTTGGACTAACACACGTAAACATTAAAATGGCCTATGGGTCCGTTTGTAGGGATCAGCAGATGACATTATCAACACAATCGTATGGGTGATCCGTAGCAGTGTGTGGCTGTATATTTACAGTTGAAGGAAAAGTTGGCCTGAAACAAGGGGACCCGACGATGTCCACGTACTCACAAGTGCAGGTGCGACCGTCATCACGGTAACCTGGCAGTCGCAAGCTCCGTCACTGGTGACGCATCTCTGCTCACATGGGCTACTCTGGCATTCGGAAACAACACCACAGAGGGCAGCCTCGTTAAATACTCATGCCAATAATGGTTGTCACCCCTTTTTTTTTAATTGGAGAGGGGTGTGGGATGGGTGTGTGAGGTGTGTTTGGGGTTGGGGTGGGGAGGGGGGTGACAACCATTATTGGCATGAGTATATATCAGAACTTCAGAAACATACAGATACGTTACAGACATGACCTTCAGAAACGTATAAACGCGTTGAAGGCATGACCTTCAAAAACATATAGACATGTTACAGACATGACGTTAAGAATCATACAGATGTGTTACAGACTTGACCTTCAGAAACATACAGATATGTTACAGACATGACATGCAGAAACATAGAGACATGTTACAGGCTTGACCTTCAGAAACATACAGATATGTTACAGACATGACCTTAATTAACATACAGATATGTTGCAGACTTGACCTTCAGAAACATACAGATATGTTACAGACTTGACGTGCAGAAACATACAGATATGTTGCAGACATGACCTTCAGAAACATATAGACACGTTACAGACATGACATTCAGAAACATAAAGATATGTTACAGACTTGACGTGCAGAAACTTTTCGATTGTTCTAAGCGCTAGGCATCTTAGAAACACAGATACGCATTTTAATTAAAAGCACATTATTATTGTATAGAGAAATGAATTAAACACTCGTACACACGCAAACATTTTTAAACTGGAACGTATGATTTTGTAATCAGATGATTCATGACGAATGTACTTGTGAAGATCAGAGTCATAATTGGTCTTCAGCAACCCATGCTTGTCCTAAGAGTTTTTTGGCATGATTTGGTTGTTGAACGCCGCACTCAGCAATATTCCAGCTATATGACGACGTTCTGTAAATTTTGGAGTCTGGACCAGACAATCCAGTGATGAACAGCATGAGCATCATCCTACGAGTGTCGTACGAGGCGACTTTGGGGATCGGATGGTCAGGTTTGCTGACTTGCTTGATGCATGCCATCTCAGTTGCGTAGATCGAAGATCGATATTACTCCTTGGATTATCGGATCTAGATCGATTGTTTACAGACCACCGTTATAGCTGAGTGAGCAGTCAAACAACAAACAAATTTAAACAAAAAAACTTTATTCTTATTCAGGAATTTTCAATCGTTTGATATCTAATCTGTATGTGCTTTAAACGGCACGTGAAATAATGATTAACGGGTTGATATTCCCCACACTATCATATAACTGAGAAGTAAATACCATTGTACTGTTGGAAACGCGAGAAAAATGTTTTTCTGTCTTCATCTAATAGATACGTACACCAGTGAAGATGTGGGTTAGAACTGGTCTTCAGGAACCCATGCTTGTCGTAAGAGGCGACTAACGGGATCGGGTGGTCAGGCTCGCTGACTTGGTCGCCACATGCCGTCGTATCCCAATTGCGTAGATCGATGCTCATGCTGTTGATCATTGGAATAATTGTCTGGTCCAGACTCGATTATTTACAGACCGCCGCCATATAGCTGGAATATTGCTGAGTGCGGCGTTAAACAACAAACAAACGTTTTTCCTTATTCAGGAAATTTCAATAATTTAATATTTAATCTGCATTTGCTTTAAACGACACGTGAGCAATGAATACTAAAGTACAGTCGGAAATGCGAGAAAAATGCTTATCTGGCTTCCTGTAATAAACACGAATAATGAGGCTATGGAATGGTATTAATCAAGATAACACAAAATGCTTTTCGACCCACTAAAATGACCGCTATTTTCCTGACGGTACCAAGGGTGCTTTTCTACAGTAGTAGACTCATTCTTATTCAGCCGGGTTTCCATCAAGGAATATATTCAGGAAGCAGTGACTGCGAGAGGCGATAGTCGTGGCGCGGAGATACGGTGACTTCATTAACTGTATGGAATATTTTTCACCGAAAATTGCTCTGTCATCACCACGTGCAGCGTATCGAAATCCCATCTTAAGTAGAGCAATAATTAAAGTAGCTCGGGGAACATTAATGGTATCTTTAATTTCCTTCCCGAATCTACTACAAGTCTGGGTCAAATTCTCCTCTCGTACATTGTATACCTAATTATACCTCGTTATGAAAGCTGTCAAATATCCGTTCAAATCCCGGATTTGTTTTGATACGTCCCCTTAAGTTTTTGTTATAATTTATCATTCCGTAGACTTGTTGGTATGGAAGCCTAAGGGCCTTGGCAGTTGCGTTTTACACCCAATCTAAACTTACAACTGGCTTCTCTATATCTTTCTCAAGTGTAATGAACTTACCCGTATCCTATTACAGACTCCATGTCGCGAATCTTGGCTGTGGTTGTATGCAAGAGTGATGTAACATGCAATGTTGACAAAACACATGCAGCGTCATTTCATTTTTTTGGATGCATATCTCGAATTTTCTCCCATTAACTTTTTTTTGTGGATTTGACGTTTAAGTGCCGTTTCACTGAAAAACATACATTTTAGTGCCGTTTCTGGTGATCTTGTTTCTGCATATGTTATTGACATATGGCATACATATGTCCTCACGTGGATAGACGCTTAAGTTAGATGAGAACTATGCGTGTTACAGGCCTTTTGATGCGCGGGGTAGCCTAGTGGTTAAAGCGTTCGCTCGTCACGCCCAAGACCCGGGTTCGGTTCCCCACATTGGTTGAATGTGGACCCATTTCTGGTGTCCCCCGCCGTGATGTTGCTGGAATATTGCTAACAGCGGGGTCAAATTTAACTCACTAACTCACTACAGTCCTATACTTTTACGCGATGAAGCTAATTTTGATAATGACCTAAGGCATTGTAAACAGAGTTGTGATGAAGATACGGTTGATGCATGAATCGGCCCGAGGAACTCACCAGACTCACAAGAACTGCCGCTCCATCCGTCCAGACAGTTGCACGTGTTAGGCACGTGACATTTGCCGCCATGTTGACACGCAGGAACGCAGACAGCTGTGGAAAACAGATGAAAAGATTCTTTATTATCCATGTCTTAATATATTCAACTACGTGGTATGTGTACCTGTGTGTGTAGACCTGGGGCATTGAGGCATACATATAAAAATTTGAGTCAACTGAAAAATTTGTTTTGTTCTGATACATTAGTCCTTTGGAAGATGCATACACCTGAGTGAGTGTGTAAGTTGGGTTTTACGCCGCTTTTAGCAATATTCAAGCAATATCATGGCGGGGGACACCAGAAATGGGCTTCACACATTATACCCATGTGGGGAATCGAACCCGGGCGTTCAGGGTGACGAGCGAACGCCTTAACCACTAGGCTACCCCACCGCCCCGGTTACAACTGAGGAACATGCATTAATCACGTACCTAATGTGCATACGTATACAATGCTAGGGAAGGATGCCCATAAGTAACTGTAAATATATGGTCTCAAAAGTTTAAGAACCTTGAAAACGACCCAGTACTGGAGTGAGTGAGTGAGTGAGTGAGTGAGTTGGGGTTTACATCGTTTTTAGCAATATTCCAGCAATATCACAGTAAGGGACACCGGAAATGGGCCATGTGGGGAATCGAGCCAGGGCCTTCGGCGTGACGAACGAACGCTTGAACCACTAGGCTACCCCACCGCCTCCTTGTACTGGAAGGCGTGTCATGTCAACAACACCAGAGGTAATCAGGAAGACCCTCGATATGTTGATGACCGACCGGCGATTGACTCGGGAGCATATTGTCTGTTCAGAAGTCGGTTCCGGGAAGATATTGAGACTACATAACACAGGAAGCTCTAAAAAAACGTGTGTTTTTTCACCAGGAAAAGGGGAAAGTGCTCGAATCTGTCACTGCCACGACTAGAACCCTCGAGAGTGAGATTGAACTCCTCCAGATCATGGGGTATTCGCCTGTTCCATCTGAGACAATATTGTCGCATCTCGCGAGTTTGAGCACAAGATGTCGGTGGGGTATAGTAGCCTTGTGGTTAAAGCGTTCGCTCGTCCCGAAGGTCCGGGTTCGATTCCCCACGTGGGTACAGTGTGTGAAGCCTATTTCTGGTGACCCCGCCATGATATTGCTGAAATATTGCGAAAAGCGGCGAAACACTAAACTCACTAACTCACTTGAGCAAGAGATGTTCCGAAACGTGAAGAAAGGTCCATGCGGTAACCATTTTAACTCGAAGAACGCTCACGTCAAAACTGTGGAAAAACATTTTGAACAACCAAGAGAAGGACTAATCCTTTCAACAACGTTGACAAAAAAATACATCAGTGAGCAGGCTGACTGTTGAAATAAATTTATAAATCAGAATACTGTCGTTGGGTGAAGTCTAGTCCGTTTCAGTCCCTGAACCACATTGTTTCCCCTTTTGCCTAGCCCTCCTAGACTAAGGCTTAGTCTCTGAATATATATAATTTTGATAGTAACAAACAAGCCCATTTATATGAAAAGGAGCCCTAGGGAGACCAGAGATTCAGAACCTGAGGAAATCTAGACTTGCTTTATTTAGAGCTTTAGCACTGCAGAGAGGGCTTGGCAGTAGGGAAATTAATGTGGTTCAGGGACTGTGAGACAGACTATAGCCCTCCCTGCAGTGCTAATTATATAAAGGCCAAAATGAAGCAAGTCTACATTTCCCCAGGTTCTGAATCTCTGGTCTCCCTGGGGCTCCTTTTCAACTTAAATGGGTTTATTTGTCACAATGTTATTATTAAAATTATATGTAAATTCAGAGACTAAGCGTTAGTCTATCACAGTCCCTGAATCTCACCCCCACCCACAATATCACGGCGGGAGACACCAGAAATGGGATTCACACATTGCACCCCTGTGGGGAATCGAACCCTGGTCTTGGGCGTGACGAGCGAATGCTTTAACCACCAGGCTACCCCGCCGCCCCTTATTTTACATTAATGAACCTGTGAATGCATAAGGCACATGTCGATCTGCCAGTATAAGTGTGAACATGGTGTCGTTCTTCAGATGGGAGTGTCAAGTGTCGCTGGTAAGGCAGCTAGCATGGGTCTGCACTGGTGTGTTTGCCAGAGCTTACATATCACTTACTGACACAACATATATTGTTACGTGTGAGACACCACTGCTTAACGTGGATGTGTGATTGCAGAGGCCACTGCGTCCTTGTGTGCTGTGGAATGTGTGCTTGTGCTAATCGTCATTAAGCATCTAATTAGTGTAACGACAACAAACTCTTCTTGACCCTGGCTCATAGCAGGTCACGTGTGCACAACATACATGTGCAGCTCATTAATCAGTATGATTATAATAACATACGTGGCGTTAATTGCCCTCTAAACCCACCACCTAATTCCAGATTCCAAGTCCCCATGCTTACTATCTGACCCGCTCCCCATGTATGCACTGCCACTAGTGAGTGAGTTTAGTTTTACGCCGCTTTTAGCAATATTCCAGCAATATTCTGGGCTTCACACATTGTACCCATGTGGGGATCGAACCCGGCGCTGTGAGGCAGGTTAACCCTACTGTCCTCTTCTCTTGATATGGTCGTGACCCGTGAAGGTCCGGGTTATAACTGATCTTCAGTAACCCATGCTTATCGTAAGAGGCGACTAAGGGGATCGGGTGGTCAGATTCGCTGACTTGGTTGACACATGTCATCGGTTCCCAATTGCGTAGATCGATGCTCATGCTGTTGATCACTGGATTATCCGGTCCAGACTCGATGATTTATAGACCACCGCCATACTGCTGGAATATTGCTGAGCGCGGCGTAAAACTAAACTCACTCACTTGACATGGTCCTAACCCCTGCGCCACCCAACCCACCCAAACACCCTTTGTGTGAGTGATTACGGAGTCACTCCTGCTTGGTGTAGTGGTTACAGCGTCCGCCCGGAGAGCGGAATGCCACGGGTTCGATCCCCACCGCGTCATACCAAAAGACGTTAAAATATGGTACTTGTTGGTCCCTGCCTGGCGCTCGGCATTAATGGGTACAACAAGGACTGGTCGGTTCGGAGTCAGTATAATGTGTCTGAGTGGGGTGTTCATGCTTAACTGCGGCATGGTATCTCAGTGAGCTAGCACTATAAAACTAGCTTAAGTCTGGGCTAGTACAAGCAGCCGCACATACACATACACACGCATGCACATCGTCATATGAGCGAAATATTCTCAAGTACGACGTTAAATCCCATTTCACCTCACCTCCTGTAGATGACCGAGCTGTATTGTGTTGTGAGACACTGACTTACGCCTGTAAATGAACGGGATGAATATCTTGTCTTACACGACACAAACTAGTCCGTCTCGCAATCCCTGGATCATATTATTGTCCCTACAGTCTAGCCTTTCCTGCAATGCTAAAGCCCTCACAAAAGCAAGTCAAAATTTCTCATCTCTGTCTCCCTGGGCCTCCTTTTCAATTTAAATGGGGCGGTGGGGGTAGCCAAGTGGTTAATGCGTTCGCTCGTCACGCCGAAGACCCGGGTTTGATTCCCCACATGGGTAGAATGTGTGAAGCCCATTTTTAGTGTTTCCCGCCGTGATATTGCTGGAATATTGCTAAAAGCGGCTTTAAACCATACTCACTCATTCACTGACTCAATTTAAATGGGTTTATTTGTTACAATCAAAATTATATATATTCAGAGACTAAACATTAGTCTAGACAAGACTTAGTCCTCTAGATGAACCAGGACACAACATGATCACACCTGAACATCAACCAGCTGTACATATTGTGTTGTGTAACATAGGGTCGGTCACTCCAGTCAGAGACCATCGGTATATGGTCTCTGCTCCAGCAGATCAACCAGCTGTACATATTGAGTTGTGTAACATAGGGTCGGTCACTCCAGTCAGAGACCATCGGTATATGGTCTCTGCTCCAGCAGATCAACCAGCTGTACATATTGAGTTGTGTAACATAGGGTCGGTCACTCCAGTCAGAGACCATCGGTATATGGTCTCTGCTCCAGCAGATCAACCAGCTGTACATATTGAGTTGTGTAACATAGGGTCGGTCACTCCAGTCAGAGACCATCGGTATATGGTCTCTGCTCCAGCAGATCAACCAGCTGTACATATTGTTTTGTGTAACATAGGGTCGGTCACTCCAGTCAGAGACCATCGGTATATGGTCTCTGCTCCAGCAGATCAACCAGCTTTACATATTGAGTTGTGTAACATAGGGTCGGTCACTCCAGTCAGAGACCATCGGTATATGGTCTCTGCTCCAGCAGATCAACCAGCTTTACATATTGTGTTGTGTAACATAGGGTCGGTCACTCCAGTCAGAGACCATCGGTATATGGTCTCTGCTCCAGCAGATCAACCTGCTTTACATTGTGTTGTGTAACATAGGGTCGGTCACTCCAGTCAGAGACCATCGGTATATGGTCTCTGCTCCAGCAGATCAACCAGCTTTACATATTGTGTTGTGTAACATAGGGTCGGTCACTCCAGTCAGAGACCTTCGGTATATGGTCTCTGCTCCAGCAGATCAACCAGCTTTACATATTGAGTTGTGTAACATAGGGTCGGTCACTCCAGTCAGAGACCATCGGCATATATATGGTCTCTTCGCTAGTAGATCAACAAGCTGTACATATTGTGTTGCAGGACATTGAGTAACTCATGTACATGAAAAAGCTGTATATATTATGCTGCACCGATGTTTGTAGGTGAACCGGTACAGTTAAAGTTACGCTGCTTTAATAGTGAAGCGCTACATGGTTGACCGACATGACAGCACGAGTGATCTCCCTTGACATAATTCATTCTACAAACATCACCCGAAACAGAACCATTTGCTCCAGTCCGAGATAACCGTGATGCTGGTACAGACCATGGTATTCTTTAGTGAGAAACTAGAACAAGGTACAGGTGGCTGTATCGTCACTAGTTGATAGCGATCCATAAACACATGCTCATGATATAGTTGGAATCGTACACGTGACTGCTTTTTGGAGAGATTTATGGACGTGGAATGGTCTTTAGTTGATTATATCTATTAATGAGGTGACGTGAGGTGAAATTGGGTTTAACGTCGTACTGGAGAATGTTTCGCTCATATGACGATGTGCATGCGTGTGTATGTGCGGCTGCTTGTACTAGCCCAGACTTAAGCTAGTTTTATAGTGCTAGCCCACTGAGATACCATGCCGCAGTTAAGAATGAATACCCCACTCAGACACATTATACTGATTCCGAGCCGACCAGTCCTTGTTGTACCCATTAATGCCGAGCGCCAGACAGGGACCAACAAGTACCATATTTTAACGTCTTTTGGTATGACGCGGTGGGGATCGAACCCGTGACCTTCCGCTCTCCGGGCGGACGCTCTAACCACTACACCACAGGGGCGGTCTCTATTAATGGGAAACCTGCTAGATCGTATAGGATTCTGTCATGTGAAACTCAGTTATGTTTATCCTGGCGTGAGAATCCTGGAAGATCTCATTGTATTCTGTTTTTTCTGTGTTCTGGTATTCTGGCGATTTCACAGTATTTTGTTGTAAGAAAGCTGTACAGGTTATGAACAGATCGTCGCATTATTAGAAACCAGATGACTTACGTTCCAGACAGGCGTTTTTCTGGGCGTCATATCCCGTCCACCCTGGGCAGCAGGCGAAGCGGGTATTGTACTGGGGCCTCATCTCAATCAGTCGCCTCATCTCCATCCTGTAGGACAGTCTACAACAGAAAGTCCCACAACACCACGTATACAACAAGGAGTACGGTCAATAACACAAAGTCCAGTATAATACAGGGAGGTGGGAACTTTCCGTTCTTGACATTTGCATAATTACACACATATTGTACCTTCCATACATGACAGCGACTCGCACTGCTTACAGATTCTCACCCCACTCTTGCGCCCCCCCCTCTCTCTCTCACTCTCTCCATCCCCACCCTCCCTCCCTCCCTCTCTCGCTCTCCCTCCCTCCCCCTCTCTCTATCTTTCTTTCTCTCTCCCTCCCTCTTACTCTCTCGCTCTCTTTCTCTTCCTCCCTCCCCTCTTTCTCTCACTCTCTCACTCTCTCTCCCTCTTACTCTCTACTCTCTTTCTCTCTCTCCCTCCCTCCTCTCCTCTCTCTCTCTCTCTCTCTCTCTCTCTCTCTCTCTCTCTCTCTCTCTCACACACACACACACATGTAGCATCGTTTATTATTTGTTTGGATTGGTTGTCCTCTCACCTGAAATGTGGACAAACTCCCGTCTTGTTTCCTCGACAAGGTAGATAACTCCTTTGGTAATACGGAACACAGACGGATTTTGTTGTGGGTACTGCTTTCATGACAACTGCATCTTGACGACAGATGTGAAGTCTGGGATGAGATAAGTAAAGGGAGACTATCATACAACTTATAGTACCTGCAAACCCAGGACATATTTTCATTTTGGGAGGGTGTTGTACTGGAAGGAATGTATACAGAATGTAGTTTTGAGTGAGTGAGTGAGTTTGGTTTTCCGCCACTTTTAGCAATATTCCAGCAATATCACGGTGGGGGACACCAGAAATGGGCTTCACACATTATACCCATGTGGGGAATCGAACCCGGGTCTTTGGCGTGAGCGATGTAGTTTTGAGTTCATAGCAGCATTTGGAATACCTAGACAACACACGGATGAGTACCTCCAATATTCGCTGAGCAGTTAACCTCTGAAAACGACGGAGGATGAGGTTGTACATCCTAACACTGGCAGAACTGTTAACCTCTTAAGACGACGGAGGATGTGGTTGTACCTCAAAACACATGGACCCGAATTGATCTTCAGCAACCCATACTTGTCGTAAGTGTCAACTAACTGGATCGGGTGGTCAGGTTCGCTGACGTAGTTGACACATGTCAACGTATACCATGTAGATGGATGCTCATGTTGTTGATCACTTGATCGTCGAGTCCAAACTCGATTATATACACACCGCCGACATATAGCTGCAATATTGCCTTAAACACAAACACCCAAAATAATATCAAAACACATGGAGCCACAGTTGGCCTACGAGGGGGGATGTGGTGGTTCCTCCCTCTGAAGTAGTCAATTACGGACCATGTTGTTGCATGGTTTGATAACCGCCGTTTATAGCACGAGTGTCTTAGCACCTGCAGGTTAAAGCTTTAGTTCCGAAAGACGTGACACTGGATATTTTATTAGATCCCTCTCGATTATGAGTCTAACCTAAGCAAGCTGTATATACACTTGTAAACAGTTAAGACCGCAGGCTAGATTGGATGCGTCTATCTGGATGAAGCTGATAAGAAGGAGGCATGGAGGCAGGCATAATTGTCCGCGGAGCAGCATAAACCTGTCTGCCTTTTTCCTGTAGCGGGAATTATGCTTGAATTTATGCCGTACACAAGTTTAGAAAAGCTATTTCAATTACAGTAAATTGCAATTATGCACACCCTTATTTATAGACATGTATTTTATCTGGCAATACAATGCCAGTGACTCGATGTACTGTAGCAGAAAATCTTGGTACAACACCTTGGCGTGTTCTCTCACGTAGTGTACATCTTGGCGCAGACTTGCTACACCCTGGCGAGAACACTTGTGTGATACAACTGACGGACTACACTCACATCCTACACTAAAGTCAGTATACCCACAACCTACACTTAAGTCAGTATACCCACGCTCTACACTTAAGTCAGTATACCCACGCTCTACACTTAAGTCATTATACCCACGTCCTACAATTAAGTCAGTATACCCACACCATACACTTAAGTCAGCACATCTACGCCCTACACTTAAGTCAGTATACCCACGCTCTACACTTAAGTCATTATACCCACGCCCTACACTTAAGTCAGTATACCCACGCCCTACACTTAAGTCATTATACCAACGCCCTACACGTTAGTCAGTATATCCACGCCCTACACGTAAGTCAGTATACCCATGCCCTATACTTAAGTCAGTATATCCACGCTCTACACTTAAGTCAGTACACTCACATCCTACACTTAAGTCAGTATACCCACGCCCTACACTTAAGTCAGTATACCCACGCCCTACACTAAAGCCAGCATACCCACATCCTACACTTAAGTCAGTATACCTACGCCCTACACTTAAGTCAGTATACCCACGCCCTACACTTAAGTCAGTATACCACGCCCTACACTCAAGCCAGCACACTTACATCCTACACTCAAGTCAGTACACTCACATTCTACACTTACGTCAGTATACCCACGCTCTATACTTGAGTCAGTGTACCCACGCCCTACACTAAAGCTAGTATACTCACACCTTACCCTAAAGCCAGTGCACTCACATTCTACACTGAAGCCAGTACACTGACGTCCGACACTTAGGCAAGTGTATTTATGTCCTACGCCAGGTGTTCACAAAACTTGACAGTCAAGAGTGTACTCATCATTAGACATCTGAGAAGACAGGATAATCTTGGTGTAATCAACAACAACAACCAAACACGGCAAGAGTGATGTACTCAATACCAGGGCCTAGATTTTCGAAGCTCTCTTAGGGCTAAGATAGTTGCAAGTTAATGTTAATGAATGGCACTTACGACTATCTTAGCACTAAGAGAGTTTCGAAAATCTAGACCAAGACATCTAAGAAGGACAATGGTGATGCACTCAACACAAGACGTAACAACTGTTTACGCCAAATTAGACATCCAATAGATTAGTTTGGACGCAGCTATTTAGAAATGTTTACCAAGAAGAAAATGAAACCATTATTGCCTTCTTAAATTTTAAAAAGCACTTGACATTACTTCACTGGTATTTCTTGGATTCAGTTGGTTTAAGAGGTGAAAATGACGTTGCCACTTAAAAATAGTTATGTTTTATGGAAAAGCATGTCTAGGATATAATAATGTTTTTTGAGTGCCTAGTTAGTTTAAGACAAGGTTGCGTATTGGGCCATTGGTATTTTCATTTTCCATAAACGAGCTATCAATATTACAATATGGGTATTTATGGAGTTGGACTTTTTCAAGACACGTTAGAAATCCTGCTACTTAAGATTGCTGATGATATCATTTTGTTATCTGATGCAATTTCTGGATTACAGAAGCAACATCTACATTCTTGACACGCAGATGTGTGTGGTCTAACAGTTAATTTAGAACAGACAAATATTGTTGTATGTAGACGAGGTGGACACTAAAAGACAAAAGAACCGTGGTTCATAAAGGGAAGCAAGCGTTATCTTTATATACATGTAAATATTTACGAATTCCTTTCTCTTGGACTCAACGGTGAATATATGCATTGAAGGCGTAGTCGTAAGAGGTAAACGTGCTCTATTGGAAGTACTGCTAATTTAATTTAGTCGAACGTGTATTTTTAATACATGATATACAATTACACCCAGTTGTGGTTTTGATGTGTGTGTTTTATAAAGATACGGCAAAATAAGACATCGACATTTAAAGGCTTGTGGAATCAACACTAGACAGCCAAGAGAGCGGCGATGTACTCCACACTAGACAGCCAAGAGGCAGTGGTTTACTCAACACTAGACAGACAAGATGGCAGCGGTGTACTCGATACTAGACAGCCTTGGGGTAGTGGTGTACTCAACACTAGACAGCCAGGGTGCAGTGGTGTACTCAACATTAGGTAGCCTGGGGGGTAGTGGTGTAGTGGTGTACTCCACACTAGACAGCCAGGAGGGTAGTGGTGTACTCAACATTAGGTAGCCTGGGGGGTAGTGGTGTAGTGGTGTACTCCACACTAGACAGTCAGGGTGCAGTGGTGTACTCAACACTAGACAGTCAGGAGGGTAGTAGTGTACTCAACACTAGACAGACAGGGTGCAGCGGTGTACTCAACACTAGACATCCAGGAGGACAGTGGTGTACTCAACACTAGACATCCAGGAGGGCAGCGGTGTACTCAACACTAGACATCCAGGAGGGCAGTGGTGTACTCAACACTTGACTGACAGGAGGACAGTGGTGTACTCAACACTAGACTGACAGGAGGGCAGTGGTGTACTCAACACTAGACATCCAGGAGGACAGTGGTGTACTCAACACTAGACATTCAGGAGGACAGTGGTGTACTCAACACTAGACATCCAGGAGGACAGTGGTGTACTCAACACTAGACATCCAGGAGGGCAGCGGTGTACTCAACACTAGACAGCTAGGAGGACAGCGGTGTACTCAACACTAGACAGATAGGAGGACAGCGGTGTACTCAACACTAGACAGACAGGGTGCAGCGGTGTACTCAACACTAGACAGTGAGGGTGCAGTGGTGTACTCAACACTAGACAGATAGGAGGACAGCGGTGTACTCAACACTAGACATCCAGGAGGGCAGTGGTGTACTCAACACTAGACAGCTAGGAGGACAGCGGTGTACTCAACACTCTACAGATAGGAGGACAGTGGTGTACTCAACACTAGACAGCCAGGAGGGCAGTGGTGTACTCAACACTAGACAGCCAGGAGGACAGTGGTGTACTCAATACTAGACAGATAGGAGGACAGCGGTGTACTCAACACTAGACAGACAGGGTGCAGCGGTGTACTCAACACTAGACAGCCAGGAGGACAGCGGTGTACTCAATACTAGACAGATAGGACAGCGGTGTACTCAACACTAGACACACATGGTGCAGCGGTGTACTCAACACTAGACAGCCAGGAGGACAGCGGTGTTCTCAACACTAGACAGATAGGAGGACAGCGGTGTACTCAACACTAGACAGCCATAGTGTTAGAGGTATAGTCATCACTAGACATAGTGGAGGGCTGGTAATTGTATCACCGTCCTCTCAGATCTGCAATGGGCGTCAACCAAAGATATGTTCGTGCCTGTTTAATGAGGTCAGGGGTCACGAGAGACACACTTTTTTGGTTCAAACTAATGATCACAGTGTGTTCCTACAATAATTTCCCCGTAGTTCCAAAGTCACGTGACATCAACTTAATCTGTGCATAACCATGTAATGAGGAAGCGTGGCGTAGCTGCCGGCGCCTTGTGCAAATACTGCATGATTATTTAATGTAAAAATCGTGTGCTGCCGTCAAATAAACATGAAAATATGATGCCTCTCATCAGCAGATGTGCTTCGGTTTAGACCTGGAGTTTGTTCGTGTGAAACACTCAGCTAGGTGTGGAGCACAGGAGGGAGAGATAGGAGGGGTGGAGATTTTGCTGATGGGTGGGTGGGGTTGGATGGAATGGGGGTGGGGTACGCTGGTCCTTGGGGATGATGGGTGGGGTCGGGGTGAGATGTGGAGATGTGATTGAGTCATCTGCGAATTTACTTTAATGCTGAGTAGGCCTGGAGTCAACGATCGTGGGAGGAATTTCAAACAATAACACTCCAA